GGAAATTATTTAATTCAACAAATACAAAATTTGAAATAAAATTAAAATCCTCTAAATACCAATTAATCCAAATTCAACCAATATTTACTAGGCCTCCCACTTCATGGCACCATAATTAGTATGTGATAAGTAAATCACCATGTTTACTCTCAAAAAGTTGCTGTATAATTAAAGTAAAGTAATATTCTATTAAACAATGTAGAATTAAATGATGAATGAGTTAATACCTGAAAGGTGCTTAGAACAGTTGTTGGCTCCATAGCAAGTATTCAATAAATCTTAGTTTGTAAGGAGGAGGAAGAGTATGTTCAGTAAGACAAGAAAAAACATGCTACTCAGGGTATGTTACGGAAGGGTCTGTTAATTAAATATGTAGTGAGTGCAGGTTCTATGAGGGGTGAATTTCCCTTGACTGCCCAATCTTGTCACTATTAGAAACTACATTTGAATAACAGGAATATGATCCCTAACTAATCCTGGGCACAGGGCTCCTTATGATGCCTTATGTTTTCTCATCATGTTACTAATATATATTAACTTCACCTATTATTTTAAGGATCATACCAACATGACGAAATAGAGAAGTTAAAATTAGCATTTTAAAAGTGTATTTTCTATTTTTATACATGTATTTTCTATTTTTCAACAAAAATATACCTTCCATTTTCAAATAAATTACCTTCTTTCAATCCCAAAATACCTGCAATAGTAATGGCCCAAGGGTCCATGTACAGTTGTGTAAGTTGTATATTGAGCAAAACTGAGGTAAGTTCCACTTACAGAAACTACAGACATATTGACCCCTGGCAGAAATGAGAGAAGTGAGTCAGAGAGAAAACAGCAAGGGGTAAGGTATGTGGGGAAATAGAAAATGCATGTTACCAAAAGTGGCATCCACCACTCATCTCTCTAACCAATGACAACCTTGTGCGAGACCCTGGATGCAGAATTGTCAGATTTTTCAATTTTTCAAGAGTAGCTAAACATCTGGATTTTTTAATAAAAAATTCTGGTTTTTAAATATTTCTAACTCATATTAATGCTATTTTCTGTTGGTTTTATTTTTTCTATATAGATTACCACATTATCTACAAATAATAAAAGTTTTACTTTTTCTCTTCAGATTGTTTTACTTCCTTTTTTCTGTTAAAGCATAACAAATATCTCCCTGTTAAATGTAGCAAAAAAGGTAGAAATCCATGTTTTATTACTAGTCTTAAAGGGAACATACCTACATTTCTCCATTATGTATGATGTTTACTTTGGAGTTTTGGTGTAGACATCTTTACTGCGATAAATAAATACATTTTTGTTTCTAATAATGGAATTGAGAAAAATTGCCACATAGGATATGAGCTCTCATGAATAAATAGCATTTATTCATAACAACAGTCAACCAACTATAAAATATATTTTTAAAATATGCAATACAATGTTTGAGCTCTGGAGTCTGAAACAGCCTGGGAAACATGGAGAAACCCCATCTCTATTAAAAATGTAAAAAAAAGAAAAAATAGCCAGGCATGGTGGTAGGCACTTGTAGTCCCAGCTACTTGGAAGTCTAAAGCAGGAGAATCACTTGAGCCCAGGGAAGGTCAGGGCTGCATTGAGCCATGATGGCACCACTGTACTGCAGCCTGGGTGACAGAGCAAGACCCTGTCAAAAAAAAAAAAAAAAAAAAAAAAAAAAGCAATACAAAATAAATCTTAAAATATCCAGGAATAAACAAAGAGTATTATAAGACCACTAGAGAGTAAAGTGTTAAATCTATTTGAGGGTATTTTTAAAAATCAGAGTAAGTGGAGAAATATCCTACACTCTTTGATGAGATGTCATCACATTACAGAGTTCAACTATCTTCAGATACGTCTATAAATTTTATGCAATTCTATTCAAAATTCTAGCTGAAGGTTTTTGAGGAACTAGAAAAACTTATTCAAAAACTGTTTATGGAAGATTAATGTCTATGTGACCTAAGCCATTTTCAAAAAACGGGGTGGTGAATAAGCTGACTTGCTGTACCGGATATTAAGTTGTATTACAAGGCTGTGGATAGGAAAAAGTAAGTCATAGAAGAAAGACAAACATTAATGAGCATATGAAGAGAAGCTCAAACCTACTAGAAATTAGAGAAATGCAAATTAAAATGACAATGAGAAATCATGTGTTACTGATTACATAACTAAAGGTTACTTCTCTGCATAATATTAATTGTTAGAGGTGTGTCCCCATATAGTACTAGGGGACCATAAACTAATGCAGCTACTTCTGAGAGCCATCTGGCAGATTACCTGCATACCTGGGACCCAGCAATTCAAGTCTTGTTGTATCATGCAAGTCAATAAGAAGGCATGCATGAGGCTGTCCATCATGGACTTCTTTATGATAGCAAAGAGCTGTCGACAACTTAGGTCTCCACCCACCATGGAGGGAACAGGGAGTTAGATGAGATGAAGGGACATCACAGAAAATTAAGCATCAGTCAGAAGCCACAAACTAGTCCTAGTAGTCCGTGCAGACATGGAGAGAGTCTTAAAACATGCTGCTGTCTGAGAAAATCAAGAAAAAGCATGAGGTCTGTAGCATAATATGGTCTATAAAATTAATAATTCAAGCACACAAAACAAGACTACCTGCTGTAAAAGGGTACACAAAGTTTTTTTTAAAGGAGGTTACCATTGGAGAAAGATGGGAATGGCTCATAAAAATTAAAGGAAAGGAAAGAAAGGAAAGGAAAGGAAAGGAAAGGAAAGGAAAGGAAAGGAAAGGAAAGGAAAGGGAGAGGAAGAAGGAGAGGGGGAGAAAGGAAAGAAAGAGAAAGAGAGAGAAAAAAAGAAAGGAAAGAAAGAAAGAAAGAAAGAAAGAAAGAAAGAAAGAAAGAAAGAAAGAAGAAAGAAAGAAAGAAAGGAAAGAAAGAAAGAAAGAAAGGAAAGAAAAGAAAGAAAGAAAGAAAGAAAGAAAGAAAGAAAGAAAGAAAGAAAGAAAGAAAGAAAGAAAGGTGGTTGCCGGCGCTGGCGCTGGCGCTGAAAGATGTTGCACGATGGCGCTGGCGCACATATATGTTGCTGCAGTTGTTGTTGCTGCTGCTGCTGTTGCTGTTGCCAGCCAAGCGTTGCTGCTGTTGCTGTTGCGCCGTTGTTGCCGTTGCTGTTGCTGTTGCGCCGTTTTGTTGCTGAAGAAAGAAAGAAAGAAAGAAAGAAAGAAAGAAAGAAAGAAAGAAAGGAAGGAAGGAAGGAAGGAAGGAAGGAAGGAAGGAAGGAAGGAAGGAAGGAAGGAAGGAAGGAAGGAAGGAAGGAAGGAAGGAAGGGAGAGAGAGAGAGAAAGAGAAAGAAAGAAGAACGAACGAAAAGAAAAGAGGAAAGGAAAGGAAAAGGAAGGAGGAACTGAGAGAGGAAGGAAGAAAGGAAGGAAAGTCTGGGCACAGTGGTTCATTCCTATAATCCTAGCACTTTGGGAGGTCAAGGTGGGAGGATAGCTTGAGGCCAGGAGTTTTAAGACGAGCCTAGGAAACATAGCAAGAGCCCATCTTTACAAAAAAAAAAAAGAAAAGAAATTAGCTGCATGTAGTGGCACACATCTGCAGTCCTAGCTACTCAGGAGGCTGAGGGAGGAGGATTGTTTGAGCTCAGGAGTTCGAGGCTACAGTGAGACATGATCCTGCCACTGTACTCCAGTCGGGATGACAGAGCAAGACTGTTTCTCTCTCTCTCTCTCTCTCTCTCTCTCTCTCTCACACACACACACACACACACACACACACACACACAAAAGAGAAAAAAAGGAAGGATAAAAGAAGGGGAGAGAAGGATGGAGGGAGGGAAGAAGGGAACGCTGTTTATGGGTAAAATGTAAAGACTAAGGATAAATTATCATTATGTGGAAAATTTAAAATAATACATATGTAAACACATAAAGAGACATTTCATCAATTTTACAAGCAAGATGGCATTATTAAGAATGAAAACTACGGCATCTGGGTTTTTTTTTTTTTTAAACAGAGGCTTGCTCTGACTTTTTAAATGACATCTGGGTTTTGAAATAAGGATTCCAAGCCCCTAGTTTACCCTAAAATGTCTTCTAACTGGGATTTCTAGTCACCATCACCCATTTACAGTAGTGTGACGGAGAAGTCTGATTAACCCTGAAGTTCTGCTGAGGAGATTTCATACAATGAGAGACAGAAAAATAAAGCCTCATCTAAGAGTAGTTATAGAATTTTGTTTTGTTTTTGTTGTAGAGCTTGATTGTATCAAATGCTCAAAATCCATAGTCATTCTCCTCCAATTAGATAAATATAATGAATACCATCATCCTCCTAATGTTGTATTTATCCATTTAACCTTAGACTTTTTCAACTACTCTATATGAATTCCTCCTTTCTTTTTAATAATTTTAAAAGTCCCAGACTGGAAAAACAAATGAAGCAAAACAAAAATACACATGAAGAATATATTTGGTATGACTTAGGCAGAGTGGGTGACTGACTTTATTTTATTTTGTCCTAGTTTTAATAGCATTACTAATACCACAGTTTCTAATGCTTGTGCATCCATTAGCCCCTTGAAATAACAACTAAAATCTACGGATAGTAGATTTGTGACTTTCTACTTACTATCACAAGATAGTAAATCTTGTGACTTTCTTGAGACTATCTAAGAGGTTACAGACAAAAAGTCCTGAGAAAACTGATGTCAATACAAAGGAGAGAGAGAGAAGAGTTTTAAGTAATCCTTATATAAGTTGAGTGAGTGTTCAAAACTCACTGGTCAGGATTCCGATCAGCACTCAGGACTGTCAGATCAGAACTTTCCTGAAGGTGCTTGTATTACACAGGAACCCCACATCCAAACCAAAGCACTTTAACAATCCAAATAAATGTATTTTCTCAATTGCAATAATCATTTTTATTTAATTGAAAGAAGGAAAAAAAAGAGAGAAAGTTTGTCAGATCTTGTTGTTATGAACGAGGATAATGTCGAAACACATTCCCAAAGCCTACCTTCTGGATACCAAGGTTGTGTGTGAGGAGGCCATTCTTTCTCTTCATGGCAAAAGGACTTGTAGTCAGGACAGCAATCAGAATTTTCTCTGTCACAGAATTTATCGCAGTAGCACAACGCATTCGCCTCATAGAACTCAGTGACACAGCCATCATCTCTGTCTTCACAACAGCCAAAATTTCTACAGTATTGCCCTTGGAAAATGGCTCTTTTGAATCGAGTACCTTGAAAAACGGTGTGATTCCTAGTGAAATAAGCTTCTAGGTCCACTTCTCTTTGAGGTAAATACTGCTTCTCCATCCAGATTTCTGTAGTAAGATAAGAGAAGATTAAGATCTTATATCCAGTCCACATTCTCTGGAAGTCAGGTATAGCTTCCACTTTCCGTTATATCCAATACCCTTAGCCTTATGGGCTTCTCCTTGGAACCTGAATTCTTGTCATCAAGACACTTAGCCTGAACCCTGAAACTGATCCTTTACTTGAAATGAGTATACTTGTAGTTAAACATTAATCAAGAATTTCAATGTTTGACCAAGATAATGTATGTTAGAAATAAACCATTGTTATTCCCCCAAAGTTAAAAAAACTTATATTTCATATAATGCAGAAATTTTGCATCATCAAAATATCTACATAAAATCTTATGCATAGAGATACATTGAATATTGCATGCCTCTTAAAAAATCTAGGTTCTTAAATCAAAAGCCTCCTTAGAATATACATGACCCAGATTATGGCTAAAATAAACACTGGCAAGGTGCAGGAAATTCAAAAGTCAAAAATGTAATTATTCATTTTATCTGCTTGCATTGCAATGAAAATGCAGGCTCTCATGAGGTTGCCTGCTAGGATCTGTCACATCAATAACAGTTGCTCTAAATCATGCCCAGTCACACACTGGTTTGATTTCCCATCTGCACCCCATTTACCTAGCAGAAGCGTTTTGATTTCAAGGCTTAGTGGAACCTAATTCAGCAAGAAATTCCCTGAGGGTGACCTTAGTTCTCTCCACCTGAGTCCCTGCTTAGCATAAATACTGGGAACCTTCAGTATCTTGAAGGAAGCTTATACTCAAGAAAAGTCAGTACTCAGTGTGAATGAGCTATTGTGAAGGAAACTGGAAGGACAAGGTGTCATTAGTGTTTTTATAGAGCTGTGTGTTTACACTGGTTTTTGGCTACACTGTACTTATTTATTAACTACAATAACTTCCTTTGGCTTGGGGATAAGTAACCAGTAGAGGATGATTCAGCAAGAGTTGCTGGGTGGACTAGTGGAAAGCACCTGTCTTGGCAATCTGAAAACCCGGACTCTGGTCCCTGAGCTACTGTTTAATTGGTTCTATAACCTGGGGTTCACCATTTACTTCTCTGATCTTCAGTTATTTGTCTATGAAATGGGGTATTCCTTTCCCAGGTTATTTCATAACTCCAACCCTACAAACTTGCTCCTTGACCTTGCTCTATATTTTATTCAACTCACACTTTTGTCTTCATTGTGTCCTTTTCTTCTGGCACCTTCCTCTCAGGCTTTAAACCAATTGAGTCTCTCTTTTAAAAAAAAAAAAAAAATTCTACATTATCTTGATGTCACTATCCATAATGACTCTGTCTCTTCCATCCAACACCTGCTGCCTCCACTTCCTTGCCATCTACTGAGTCACTAAATTACTGCAAAGTACTGCCTCCATTCCCACCTGCTTTCACCAATGACCTCCTACCAGCCACTCCCCCATGGGTCTGTGTTTATCCTTGTCATACAGGTGTCTTATGCAGCATTCAAAGATAGTAGATGTTAAGTGTGCTCACCATAAAAAAAGAAAAAAAAAAAAAGGATGAAAGAGAGAAGGAGGAAGGGAGCATAAAAGTTAGACTGATGGAATTCAAATGCTAGCTCTGCCACTAACTAGTAGCATGTCTTCGGGTATGTGGCTTACTCTACACTGCAATTTGCTCATCTGCACATTTGGATAATAATATTTATTACCACATCAGATGGGTGGGAAATTTAAATGCAATAACAACACAAAGTACTTAGCACATCACACACATCACATTATTTATGCTAAATAAATGTTAATTTTCATTAATAAGCATACCCACTACCTAGAAACTCTTCCTCCCTTGCTTTCTATGCTTTCATTCTCTCCTGATTCTCTTCCCATTCTTCACAATGCTACCAATTTACCTGCCCACTCTTGGATTCATTTCCTGCCCTTCTCAATGATCATTTGAAATTTACTTTCACTGACATTCTCAACACTCCTGCTTCCAGTCCTCACACCTCATATTCCCTCAAACTTCCAACACTGAATCTGTTTAAAAGCTATGGGCCACAAGATCATATCCAAGGTGGACCTCCAGCTTTATCTCTCTGAACTTAATTTATATCATTTATACCTTGCATACATTGATCCTGTCCTCACACTGGGTTTCTTGCCCATTCCTCAAACATACCATGGACACTTCTGTCTCAGTGCCTTTGCACTTGCTGCTTCCTCTGTCTGAATCATGCTTTCCCAGATAACCAAATAGCTGTATCTCTTTCGACCTCTCAGGGAGGTCTTTCCCACACACTCTATACAAAATGACAAACCCTCTTCTGTCTCAACATCCTCTATCCCTTTCTCTGTACTTATCACGTTATATTATAATTTTATTCATTGGCTTTATTTTCTGCACTTCCTCTCCAAAATGTAAGGTCTACAAGATCAGATAATTTTGTCTATTCTGTCATGGTTTTATCTCAAGCTCCTAAGACAGTGTCTAACACATAGTAGATGCTCAATAAATATTTATTCAATAAATAAATAAATTCTGCAATTTGCATTTTTCCCCTCTACCTTCTCTACTGAGGGCTGCTGGAGATGATCTACTAGACCATAAAATTTGTGAAACCATAAATTTTGGGTTATTTACCTTAGCAGAGCTCTTAAATGCTGCTCATATTTCTTTAATTTGTCTCTTCTTTCCCTTGGTGACTACTACAAATCTCTTTGCCTTCCTAACTCATTCTTTCATTTTCTAGAGCTGACCCTTTCCCACAGGTTGCCAAGAAAACAAACAAAAAAAGCAAATGTTAATCCCACACCTTCCTGTCATAAAAACCATAAACCTGTCTACATTTGCAGCCATCTTCCTTTCTTCCTTCCAGACTCTGAAGATAAGGTACCAGGGTTCCCAGATAATTCTTCCGTCTATGATTTTCAGTCTGACACCATTTATCTCTTCCTTCCCTTGCCTCTTAGGTCCCATACATCATCAGCCTCCCTCTCAGCCAGTTCCTTCAGTCCATTAGTAGGATAGTAGCAGACACCATTGTCACCCCACTCATATTCTCACCATTCTTACCACTTTAGTATAAGCTAATTAGAACTACAGTTATATGAAGTATTTATTGGCCAAAGCCCACTCCTCCTTCTCCCTCCCCTACTCCCAGAATAACAAGCCAGATATGTTGAGGAATTAAAACCCTCCCCCAACCCAGAATCAAACTTTATTTTATTTTTAATTGAAAATTAAAAATTGTATAATTTGTGGCATACAATTTGATGCCTTGTAGTATGTATGTATACATTGTGGAAAGACTAAATCAAGCTAATTAAAATATAAAGTAGGACACATACTTATCTTTTTCAAGTATACAGTTGTCTCTCGGTATCCATGGAGGATTGGTTCCAGGACCCCCTACAGATACCCAAATCTGCAGACACTCAAGTCTCTTATGTTAAATAGCAAAGTATCTGCATATAACCTACTGTATATCCTCTTGTATAATTTAAATCATCTCTAAATTACTTACAATACCTATTACAATGTAAATGTTACATAAATAATTGTTACACTATATTTTTTAATGTGTATAAATTTTTTACTGTTGTATTGCTATCTTTTGTAGCTCTTAAAAATATTTTCAATTTGAGATTGGTTGAATCCATCAATGCAAAACCCACAGATACAGAGCACCAACTATATATTATTATTATCTATAGTCACAGTAATTTACAATAGAGCTCTGAAACTTACTCCTCCTAACTGAAATTTTACATCCCTTGATTGACATTTCCCCAATTCCCTTATCACCCAGCCTCTGGTAACCTCCATTCTACTCTCTCCTTCTACCAGTTCAACTTTTATAGATTCCACATATAAACGAGAGCATTTAGTGTTTGTCTTATGTGTCTGGTTTATTTTATTTCACATCATGTTCTTCAGGTTCATTCATGTTGTCACCAATGACAATATTTCCTTCTTTTTAAGGCTAAATTTTGTATATATACCACATTTTCTTTATCCATTCATTCACCAGCAAACACTTAAGTCAATTCCACATTTTGGCTATACTACTGCAATGAACGTGGGAGTGCAAATATCTCTTCAATATATTGATTTCATATCATTTTAAATATAGTAAGTAGTAGAACTGCTAGATCACATGTTAGTTCTATTTTTAACTTTTTGAGGAACTTCCATACTGTTTTCCATAATGGCTGAATTACTTTACATTCCTACTAATAATGTGTAAGCATCCTCTTTTCTCCACTTCCTTGCCAAAACTTGTTATCTTTTGTTTCTTTGATAATAACCATTCTAATACATGTGAGGTGATATCTCATTGTGATTTTAATTTGCATTATCCTGATGATTAGTGATACTGAACATTTTTGCATGTATCTGTTGGCCATTTGAGTGTCTTGTTTTGAGAAATGTTGATTCAGGCCCTTTGCCTATTTTTTAATGGGACTGTTTTCTTGCTATCAAATTGTTTTGAGTTCCTGATATATTTTGGATTTGAACCCCTTATCAGATGTGTGGTTTGTAAATATGTGTGCCCAATCCATTGGTTGTCTTGTCACACCGTAGATTGTTTTCTTCGCTGTTGCAGAAGCTTTTTAGTTTATATAATCCCACTTGCCTATTTTTGCTTTGGTTGCCTGTGTTTCTGGGGTCATATCAAAAAAATTGTTGCCTTGACTAATGTCACCAAGCTTTCAGAAGCAAACTGAATAATACCTAAAGGATCTGGCATATAAACATGCCCATCCCCCATCCTTGGTTGAGCAATCTCTGCTATCCACATCTACATAATCCATGTCTTGAGATAAGAATAGGAGCTCTATAGTGAGAGGGATTGACAATTGTACCCTCGACAATTTATTTATATGATTAAATACTGCAGTTTACCAGTGTCTGGTAGGCATATCTACTGATCTTGCTTTAACTCATTCACCTACTCTAAATTGACAAAAGCTTTTAAAAATTTCTGCAAATAAACTTCTCATTGAAAGTGACAAATCTGACACAAATTCTACAAATAATGTATTGCTTTAAACCAGTGGTTTTCAACAAGGGGTTGAGTTTACACCTTAAGAGAAGTTTAGCATGTGTGGAGACAGTTTTATTGTTCATACTGGAGAGATGCCACTGGAGGCAAATGGGTAGAGAATAAGAATGCTGCTAAACATTCTAAAATACACAGGACAGAACCCATAACAAA